TCGGGATTAGGAACTCGGAGGCTGTACTTCAATTGTTCCCAATCCCAATCAAGTTGTTTAATGGGTTCACAACCCCATCCAGAGTAGCCACATTCCAATGATCTTACAGCTTTTTGAAAGGATTCTTGGAAAGTGCGGCCAAGAGCCATAGCTTCACCAACTGATTTCATCTGAGTAGTCAATATTGGTTGAGAACCCGGGAACTTTTCGAAAGCAAATCTGGGAATCTGCAACAAAAAAGCATGCAGAAACAACTTACTATAAGGAAGAAGAGAGATAAAGACGTGGGAAACAGATGTGAGGAGAAAGCAGGGTCACTAGTAATGAAGATCAAAATATGTGTAAAGTATCAACTGTCATCAAGTAAGCTAACAAGAAGATATGGCAATGCTGCATTAATCATTACATCAAACTTTCTAAAAACGAATACGAAAATTATCAAAAGGACAAATTGTCATCTATAGATCACAAAGTTGTTAACCTGTAAGAAAGAATATTTGAAGGAAACTGGTAACACACAAGGAAGAAAATGCATACTCAAAATCTACTCTGTAATACTCAATATTTACATGTGAGATCCCACATCGATGGGAGAGAAGGACAAAACATTCTTTATAAGGGTGTAGAAATCTCTCCCTACAGACATGTTTTAAAACCTTGAGGGGAAGCCCGGAAGGGAAAGCCCAAAGAGAACAATATCTGCTAGCGGTAGGCTTGGGCCATTACAAATAGTATCAGAGCCAGACACTGGGCGATGTGCCAGCGAGGAGGCTGACCCTGAAGGGGGTGGACACCAAGCGGTGTGTCAGCGAGGACGCTGGGAACCGAGATTCCACAACGGTTGGAGAGGGGAACAAAACATTCTTTACAAGGTTGTGGAAACCTCTCCCTAGCAGACGAGTTTTAAAACCTTAAGAGGAACCCCAGAAGGGAAAGCCCAAAGAAGACAATATCTGCTAGCGGTGGGCTTGAGCTTGAGCCGTTACATTATAAGACCGTACAAATTTGGATTTTTTATACACGAAATAACTAAGATAGATTTGGAAAACACGAACTCTGTTACTCCTCAGTTGACTAAATAAGAAAAGAGCTCACTAGTCATCTTCCAAGACTAGGCAGGCGTATGAACTTTGAACAAAGTTAGAGTGTTAAACGAATCAAAAGCTACAACCATGCTAAACTTTCCAGTATAATATGTTCTACATGCATAGCTTAATCCACGAACCAATATCCCATAAATTTCAATTCCAAAACAACTCAAAATATGACAAACAAATCTCAAGTAAAATAGACCTGCCTTTGTCACCACGTAATCAATGGAAGGCTCAAAACTAGCAGGCGTTTTCTTCGTTATGTCATTAGGAATCTGATCCAATGAATACCCAACTGACAATTTAGCAGCCATCTTTGCTATTGGAAAACCTGTAGCCTTGGAGGCCAGAGCAGAGGACCTTGAAACTCTCGGGTTCATTTCAATCACCATCACCTCACCATCAGCTGGATTGACAGCAAATTGAACGTTTGAACCACCACATTCAACGCCAATTTCCCTAATGATAGCAATGGAATAATCCCTCAGCCGTTGATACTCCTTATCAGTCAAAGTTTGAGCAGGTGCCACAGTTATGGAATCCCCAGTATGAACCCCCATAGGATCAATATTCTCAATGGAGCAAATGATCACCACGTTATCAGCAAGATCCCTCATGACCTCAAGCTCATACTCCTTCCAACCCAGCAAAGATTTCTCCACCAGAACCTGCGACGTCAAGCTCGCCGCTAAACCCGCCTTACAAATAGACTCAAATTCCTCCCTATTGTAAGCAATCCCACCTCCAGTTCCCCCCAATGTAAAAGCTGGTCTAATGATCAAAGGAAACTCTCCAATCTCATGAGCAATTTCAACACATTCCTCAAGCGTAGTCGCAATCCCTGATGGTGGTGTCTTAACCCCAATGTTCTTCATAGCCTGTTTAAACAAATCCCTATCTTCAGCTTTCTTAATTGCATCAAGCTTCGCTCCAATCAACTCAATCCCATATTTTTCAAGCGCACCACTCTCAGCTAAAGCAACCGCCAAGTTTAACGCAGTCTGCCCGCCCATAGTGGGCAACAGAGCATCAGGCCGCTCCTTCTCAAGCACTTTCTCAACAAGCTCTGGTGTCATCGGAGTAACATAAGTTCTATCAGCCAAGTCCGGGTCCGTCATGATCGTAGCCGGATTCGAATTAATCAAAACAACTTCATATCCCTCTTCTTTCAACGCCTTACAAGCTTGAGTACCAGAATAATCAAACTCACAAGCCTGCCCAATCACAATGGGACCTGCACCAAGAATCATAATCTTCTTCAAATCAGTTCTCTTCCCAATTTTCCCTCCTTTACTCTCTTTAATCGTCTTCTCGCCATTTTTCTCGCATCGAACCAAACCGCTTCGCCTATACAACTTCCCAAACGGAGAAAGCCGATCCGCACATGGCTTAATCTCGAGCGAAGTTGATCCAAATTTGCTGGAGTAAGAAAAACACCTGGCGTAGCTGAGATTGGACAAACAAGCACCGGAAGAAGAACGAATGGACGAGGATCGACACAAAATGGAGTTGGCAGCGAGAGATTGAGACGGAATCAAAGAGTAACCCATCTCCCAGCCCCACTCCCAGAGCACAACAGAAACGTTTATAGCGTTACAGAGAACGAGATTCTAAACAAGAAGGAAAGGCTCAGAGATTATATACGTCGAAAATGGAAGGCACCGATTCTGAAATCGGTGGAGGATTCCAATGAACTGCAACTCAAACACTGTGTTGGTGGAAGAAGAAGAAGATGATGATGATGAAGATTTTAGTGAAATCATTAGGGTTTCTATTGCGGGTCCCAAATGTGATGGGCCCTACAGTTGGCCCACTTCTTCTTTTGTTAAAACTTTTTTCTTTATTTATTTATTTTTTTTCTGTTTCTTTTTTTTTTTAACCATATTTTTCATCTTAAAATATTTAAATTCACATTTAAATTTTTAAAAAAAATTATGACATCATAACTATTTAATTTGTTTTTTTAATTAAACATTTAAACCATAATTCTCTAGTTTTCAAAATCAAATCCAAATTTTATAAGTTTTTTTTTTTAAATAAAAAATTCAAATATTTACTTAGAATGGATAAAAATAATTTATTTTTAAAAACCAAATAAATGAAATTATGGACTCATCAGACCTTAGGCGAGGGTCTATCTTCGTCAACCAAACACGACTCATGCAAAATTTAAATTTATTCGACACATGTTTATGTTAGATGATGAAAGTTCCATATCGGCTAATTTAGGGAATGATCATGGGTCTATAAGTAAGGAATACTACCTCCATTGGTATGAGGTGTTTTGGGAAGCCCAAAGTAAATCCATGAGAGCTTATGTTCAAGGTGGACAATATCATACCATTGTGGAGAGTCGTGTTCCTTTAACAGTTTATACCCATTTCATTTGTTTCAAAATATTAAAATTATAAAAAAGTAAAAAAGACCCGTTATATCATTGTAGATTTACTTCTACCCACCACCCGACATCGTGGACATTATTGTCGATGATGATTTTCAGAATGGTATGATATTGTCCACTTTGAGCATAGCCCTCATGGTTTTGCTTTGTGCTTCCCAAAAGGTTTCGTATCGAACATACTATTCTTTACTTATAAATTCAAGATCATTCCTTAAATTAGTTAACGTAGGACTCCATCCCAACAATTTTCGACGGATAAATGGACCCAACAAAATTAGGATTTTTTTTGTGCATTGTTCTTCACCATTGGTATTGGAGAGTGAGTCCCACTCCTTTCTCTATCTCTAGGTTTAGTGTTGTATTTGTTATTCCAAATGGATGGTAGTCCCTATCAAACAAAAAGAAACACTTTACATGGTGCCAAGTGAGAGGAATATGGGGTTCTTGTAAGAGTGAAGGGGACGATAAGGATGACAACCGACTTCGACGAGATGGATGCTACATGGAATATGGTGTCGTGTTGTCGAATTTGACTCGGTTAGTAAAAGGTTCCATATTTATCTTTGTTTCTATCAATAATCTACTTTAACATGTTCGATCAAATTCAAAATTGTCGTTGTTTTGTGCGGTGTTTAACATTAGCACTTCACATTGGTTGGAGAGAAGAACGAAACATTCATCATAAGGGTGTGGAAACCTCTCCCTAATAGACGTATTTTAAAACTGTGAGGCTGATGATAATATGTAACGAGTATAATATTTGCGAGGAGTGGGCTTAGATTGTTACAAATTATATCAGAGTCAGGCATAGGGCAATATGCCAGTAAGGGCGCTGAGCCTCCAAGGGAGTTGGATTGTGGGATCTAACCGAGATCCCACATCGGTTGGAGAGAATAACGAAATATTCCTTATAAGAGTGTGGAAACCTCTCCCTAATAGACGCGTTTTAAAACCATGAGGCTGACGAGATACATAACAGGGCAAAGTGGACAATATCTGTTAGTGGTGAGTTTAGGCTGTTATAAATGATATCAGAGTCAGGTACTGGGTGTGTGCTAACAATGATGGTGGACCTCCAAGTGGGGTGCATTGTGAGATCTAACTGAGATCCTACATCAGTTGGAGAAGGGAATGACACATTCCTTATACAGGCATGGAAAACTCTCCCCAGCAGACACGTTTTAAAACCGTGAGGCTAATGTGGATATGTAACAGGCAAAAGAGGACGTCAGACAATATCTACTAGCGGGAGTTTGAGCTGTTACAAATGGTATCAAAGTCAGACACTAGGCGGTGTGCCAGCGAATATGTTGAGCCTCCAAGGGGAGTGGATTGTGAGATCCAACCGATATCTCACATCAGTTGGAGAGGGGAACGACGTATTCCTTATACGGGCATATAAACCTCTCCCTAACAGACACGTTTTAAAATTGTGAGGCTGATGTTGATATGTAACAGGAAAAAACGGATAATATTTATTAGAGGTGGACTTAGGCTGTTACACCGACTTATTAACTCCATACTTCATAACTCAACTCAGTGACCCAAACAGCCCGTATAAACGTTTATAACTCAAGGTAAAAGTGACGGACAATATCTGCTAGAAGTAAACTTAGGTTGTTACACCGATTAGACGTAGAATTATTCCCATTAAAAAAAAAAAAAAAAAAAAAAAAAAAAAAAAAAAAAAAAAAAAAAAAAAAAAAAAAAAAAAAAAAAAAAAAAAAA